CCATGTAGTGGTGGCTATAGAAGAGGGGAAAGACTTGTCAAAATTGACAAAGCAAGAGCTTCAAGGGACGCTTGAATCTCATGAGCAAAGAATGACTGAAAGAGCTGCAGGCAAGTCGAAGAGTGATGTGGCTTTGCAGGCACATTCAACAAAAGAAACCAAAGGCAAAGGAAAGTGGTTCGACACAGGTAGAGGCGGCTACAACAAATCGAATGGTAGAGGAAATCAGAATGAAGGAAACATGTCGAATCAGAGAAGACCATACCAAGGCAACCAAAGAGGTTATGTTGCAAATAGAGGAAGAGGTGATGGTTGAAAACCTGACAAGAGTCACATTCTTTGTTACAATTGTCAGAAGTATGGTCACTATTCGAGTGATTATCCAGAAAAGCAAAAGAATCAAGAAAGTGATGCAAAGTTTGCAAAACATGAAGAAGAAGAGATGATGTTGATGGTCACAACAAGAGATGAAAATAGATTCAAGGACCAATGGTACTTGGATTCAGGATGCTCATTACATATGTCTGGAAGGAATGACTGGTTTGTCAACATAAAGCCTTCAATGAAAAATATGGTAAAATTCGTAAATGACAATATTTTAGCAGCTGAAGGTATTGGTGATGTTATGATTATGATGAAAGATGGCAAGAGGTCAGTGATTTCCAATGTGTTGTACATACCTGACATGAAGAGCAATTTGCTCAGTATAGGGCAGTTGGTCAAAAAGAATTATAAAGTGTCAATCGAAGATAAGATGATGAGAGTCGTCGACACAAATGGAAGATTAATCTTGAAGGCTCCTATGTCTCATAATAGAACCTTCAAGATCGAACTAAATGTGATGGAGCACAAGTGCCTTTCGACTCCAGCTAGTAGAGATGAATGGATATGGCATTATCGACTAGGCCATCTCAACTTCAGAGACATCAGAAATTTAAAGAGAAGAAATATGGTTTTAGGATTTCCAGAAATCGATATTCCAAACGAGGTATATGAGGAATGTCTGTAGCGAAGCAGCACAAGAATAGCTTCAGCAAGGATGTAGGAAGCAAGTCGAAGGTTATTATTGAAGTCATATACTCTGATGTATATGGACCAATCCAGGTGGATTCGATGGGAGGTAACAAATACTTTGTTACATTCATAGATGATTTCAGTCGAAAGCTGTGCACTTACCTGATCAAGAAGAAAAGTGAAGTGATCGAGGTATTTTCCAAGTTTAAGTCTATGGTCGAAAGACAAAGTGGTCGAAAACTAAAAGTTTTGAGAACTGATGGTGGTGGAGAGTATGTGTCGAAAGACTTCGACGGGTTATGTGAAAAGGAATGGATTATGCATGAGGTGGTGCCACCCTATACTCCACAGCATAATGGAACTATAAAAAGGAAGAATCGAACCATCATGAATATGGTGAGAAGTATGTTGAAAGGAAAGAATTTACCTAAAGAGTTTTGGGGTGAAGCTGTGTTGACTGCAACATACATTTTGAACAGATGTCCTACGAAGAAGCTAGAAGGAATTACTCCAGAAGAATATTGGTCTGGTGTGAAGCCTAGCTTGAGTCATCTGAAGGTATTTGGATCTATTGCATATAGACATGTTCCAGATCAGTTAAGAAGAAAACTTGATGACAAGTCAAGTCAAATGATTCTAGTTTGATATCATTCGACAGGAGGTTACAAGTTGTTCGACCCAATGAACAAGCAGATTGTGATCAACAAGGACGTGATCATAGATGAGCTTAAAGAATGGGATTGGACTGAAAATGTCAATAAATATTCAGTGGGAATCCTACTTGAAGAACTAGAAACTCAAGTCAAAAGAGAAGTTCAATAAGAGGAACCAACAGTTATAGATCAACCAAGAACAAGAAGACATCAAAGAACAAGACGCATGCCTGCAAGATTGCAAGATTGTGTGATTACATCAGATGATGTGATAGATAATGAAGGTGAGTTGGTACATTATGCTTTCTATGCAGATATCGAACCTGTCAATGCAGCTGAAGCATTGAAGGATTCGAAGTGGGTGAAAGCAATGAACGAAGAAGTGAAGTCTATCAAAGACAACAACACTTGGTCACTTATCGAATTGCCTCAAGGCAAGAAGGAAATTAATGTCAAGTGGGTATACAAAGTGAATATGAATCCCAAATGGGAATTAAATCGACACAAAGAAAATCTTGTGGCAAAAGGATTTCTATAAAAAGAAGGAATAGACTTCGATGAAGTTTTTGCACGTGTTGCTAGGATCGAAACAATCAGGTTGGTTGTTGGTCTAGCAGAATAAATAGATGGCACATATGTCAGATGGACGTGATGTGTGCATTCCTGAATGGACCCTTAGACGAAAAGTTTATGTTAAACAACCAGTTGGGTTTGTGAAACATGACGAAGAGAGAAAGGTGTACAGGTTTCATAAAGCCCTGTATGGATTGAAACAAGCTCCAAGAGCTTGGAATAAGAAAATTGGTAGTTTCCTAAGGGAGAAGGAATTTATGAAGTGTACAAATGAACATGGAGTATATGTAAGAAGAAGCAATAGTGAATTGCTTATACTATGTCTCTATGTCGATGATTTATTGATAACAGATAGCTGCAAAAGTGAGATCGAAGACTTCAAAGGTGATCTCAGCAAGAAATTCGAAATGTCTGATCTGGGTGAGATTTCATATTTCCTTGGCATCGGATTCTATAAGAGCAGTAGAGGTTTGATGATGCATCAAAGAAGATATGCATGAGAAATTCTCAAGATATTTGAGATGGAAGAATGCAACTCAACTTTGACACCTGCAGAACCAAGACTGCAACTGTCGAAATATGCATATGAAGATGATGTCGACCCATCCCAATACAGAAGACTTATTGGGTCATTGAGATACCTTTGTCATACAAGGCCTAACTTAGCATATAGTGTAGGTATGGTAAGTAGATTCATGCAGAAGCCAAAGGCATCACATCTAGCAGCAGTGAAGAGGATACTAAGGTATCTCAAAGGAACTCTCGACTATGGCATTTTGTTTCCTGCAGTTGATAAAGGAAAAGAATGCAAGTTAGTGGGATACACTGATTCATGTTGGTGTAGTGATGCTGAAGATCAAAAATCAATAGTAGGATATGTGTTTATGTTAGGTGGTGCACCGGTTGCTTTGAGTTCAAGAAAGGAACCAGTAGTGGCATTATATCATTCGAAGCAAAATACATAGCTTCTTCTTTATGTGCATGTCGAGCAACTTGGATGGTGAACTTGGTTGAAGAGATAACAGGGAAAGATCATGGAGCAATTGCCATGAAGATCGACAACGTGTCAGCTATCAATCTGGCGAAGAACCCGATAGCGCATGGTTGCAAAAAGCACATCGAAATGAGGTTCCACTATCTTCGAGAGCAGGTAGCAGATGGGAAGATAAATTTGGAACACTGCAGAACTGAGAATCAGATTGCAGACATCATGACAAAGGGAGTGCAGGTCGAATTATTCAGAAGACTAAGAACCATGATGAATGTAGATAGCTTAGACACAATGAATTAGGTGGTGTGTTGAAAGTAATTCATTGTGTCGAAGTAGTTTGCTCGATAGAAACAAGTGAGTGTTCAAGTAGGTGTGTCGAAAATGCTACACAGAGATTTGATTTGTTTTAGATTTAGATAGATTTGATTTAGATCTAAAATAGATAGATTTGATTTAGTACTAAAATAAGTATTTTGGGCTTTTATAGTTTTGGGCTTTGGCTTAGGAGCAAGCTAACTTAAATCTAAAAATAGAGGGGGTAACCCCTAATTTTGAAATTAAGTCAATTCATTGTAATCACAGAATTTGCAGTTGAAAGTGATTAATAAAGTTTTCCATAGTTTGTGGGCAGAGAGAAACTCTGCAGAAAATAATTGTCTTCTTTCTTTTATTTTCTTTTCTCATAATTCATTGTCATTGTGTGGTGATATCAATCTTGTTCATCAAGATTGGTAGAAATTCATCATAGATATTTGGTGGATTTCCAACAAAAACAGGTCCAAGATGGACACTGCACTCTTCAATGGTTAAACCGCCAGAGCCACCGGTTTGAATCACACTCGAGTATATTTGTGAGATACCCAACAATGATCCCACCGCCACCAGAACTGCTAGACAACGATTTACAAGGTACGAACCCTCTACAATTGACAACAGCTATCCTCCTTCTGATTGGGAACAAAACCATTTCAACCCAGTCCCTTTATTTCAAAGCAAATCAGAATTTAAGTTCTCGGTACAAGAGAAATTCATGCTTTAGAGGTTTCTTTCAATCTTCAAGAGTTTGTATTGCAACGACACTTGTCTATTGTCCTAGTTACTCTCTTTCTATCCATTGTAATAGTAGATGTCTTGTTGAAATTGTTCATGCACAAGTCTTTAGTGACTTGCAAGTTGCCTATGCTAGGGTTACACAAGTAGTTAGAAATTATCAAATTTATTCAAGTCATTTTCTTATAGCAGCCTTGAGGACAAGGCAATTTCTCTAGTGGTCGATAGTGATAAGATACTAGTTTGAGTCTTAGCCCAATAGAGAACCAATTATAACTGCTTATGTCAGAAGGAGAAAGGGTAGTTATATAAAGACACCGATAATAAGGGAGAATTCATTATGCCTATTTTAGAATAGAAACCTTTTGGATTGGATAGAGTGAGAATATCTCTCCTTTGAGGAGCACTTTGCTCTGGGATTATAGGGACTCCTCTCTGTAATAGTTTTAATTTCAATTAATAATACATTTTCTGTTTATCTGAATTTTGAGTTTCATTTAGTATTATATAAATTGTTTGTTAATTTGGTAAATGTGTTTCTCCTAAGTATAGAAAAAAACACCATTTCATCAGAATTTTCTCATTTAGACACTAGGAAAAAGGGTGACAACTAGTTGATACTACTGGAATTCTTAAGAGTTAATTAGACTTGCATACTATCTATCATATAAGGTTGTTCCTGGTTACAGTTTTGATGAATGAATAGCAATTAGTAAGTCTCAACTGGACAATACTGTTGACTTGAAAATCTCAATGAAGAGTTTCAACTGCGAAGGAACAAGGACAATAACCGGAATAATAGCAAATGACATAGTTTTTATTACAATTTCCTGATGCCCCTTCAAGAACATAGCAATAGAAGAACATAAAGCAACCATCATGGACACAACAGAGAAGAAAAGTGCGATAAGGCCGAAAAGTAACTTGAGTGGCAAGGAGTTTAAGAAATCCTTTTCGGCATAATGAGCCGTGAGAATTCCAATGAAGAGAAATACTGAAGTTGAAGAAGTGAAAAGAGATATTGCATCTGCTACGATGAATATATTAAATGTGTAGTCATGTAAGAAGAGTGGAACTCCACTGACTTGATTGTTTCCACCAGGCACAGTGAAAGCTGCAGCAAACATGGTGGTTGTGATGAGTGTAGCTACAAGTGTAAATGAACCTGATGTGTCTTTTGCCCATTTTTCTCATGCTTTTACAAGTTTCTTGTGGCTTTCTGTAAATATCTCACGAGACTTTTTCTCTTCTACATTTTTGGCTTCTTTACACTTGGGGTGCACAATTTTTTCCACTGCCTGAATTTATGCATTTTATATATCACTTCGCATTTTATATAGCAAGAAAATATATTATTTTGCATGATTTATTTACCTTAAACCATAACATTTCTCTTTGAATCTGGAGAGCAGGACCAGGTCTGCGAGGATCAGGGGAAGGCCCTAACTTTCCTGCCAGGTGCAGCAGTGAATTATCAAATGCATCTACGCCACATCTAACAATTTCCTTTTTACCTTTTACAGTTGGTTCATGTATGAGTTGGAAGATAGCTTTTCTACGGTTCAATGTTGGTGGTATTCTAGAGGTGGTATATGATAAATTATATTGTTGCAGGATTTTGAGTAGAAAAATACTTCCACTGGTGGATGAACATTGAAAAACTCGGGTTTTATTGAATTCACCACATAGTGCTTGCTTACAACTTAGCATTACAAAGCCTTTATATAGGCTTGAAGGAAATTGACATGGAATATAATAAGTTGGTAATCAAGATGAAGATTCTTTGGTTCTCTCAATCTTAATGATACAACTCTACCATAAATCTAAATAAAGATAATAATTATAAAGTGATGGTTACACTTCTCTCATAATGCTTACTAAAGACAATGGTGGTTACAACACATTAATTTTAATATTTTCCCTTATTGTGTTTCTCTTTAACTCTCATTGCTTTTCTAAGTTGCTGAAATCTTTCTCTTGGTAGTGCTTTAGTAAAGATGTATGCAAGTTGCTCTTGAGAATTACTGAACACTTACATCACATCGCCATCTTTGATCACACTTCGAATAAAGTGGTGCTTTATATTAATATGTCTTGTTTGACTGTGCAAAACAGGATTCTTCGCCATGGCTTTTGCTGATTTATTGTCACAATGGAGCAACATACTTTCTTCTTGCTTTTCTTCGATATCTTTAAGTATTCTTCTCAACCACAATGATTGTTGTGTAGCCAAACTAACTGCCAAATATTCCGCTTCAGCTGAGGATTGTGTTACAATGTCTTGTTTCTTTGAACACCAAGAAATTACTCCTGAACCCAGGCTAAATACATAATCAGAAGTGCTTTTCATGCCATCAACACTTCTAACCCAATCACTGCCACAGTAGCCTTTAACCTCGATTTTAACATTCTTTTCAAATTTTATTCCGTTCTCCAAAGTGCCCATTATGTACCTCAGAACTCTCTTTGTTGCTCTGAGGTGTAAGTGACTCAATTTGCTCATATACCTTGAAAGTAAAATGGCAGCGAACATTAAGTCGGGTGGTGTAGCTCTTAGATAAAATAGACTTCTGACTAAGCTTATGTACAAGCTTTCATCTACCAATTTTCAGCCATCTTCCTTCTTTAATTTTTCATTTACTACTAAAGGGATATCGACTGTTTTGCAGCCATACATGCTGAATTTTTGAGAATATTTTCAACATACCTTCTTTGACAGATAAAAATTCTAGATTTTTCTTGATATACCCTGATATCAACAAAATGATGCAGCATACCCAAATCGCTCATTTCGTATTTTTTCGTCATTTCAATTTTGAAATTTTCAATCAATTTTTCGTTATTTCTTGTGTACACTAAATCATTAACATACAAAGCAACAAGAAGAATATCATTTTTACCTTGCAGTTCACATACAAGGTTGATTCACTTTGACTTTTGATGAATTCTTGCTGAACAAAGTAGTCGTTGATTTCACTATACCATGCTCTAGGGGCATGTCTTAACCCATAAAGCGCTTTCTTCAGCTTGTAAACATTCTCATCTTGGTTGTTAGTTCCAAAGCCTTGAGGTTGCTGCATATAGACTTCTTCTTTTAATTCTCCATTTAGGAAGGATGATTTCACATCAAGCTGGTACAGGTTCCACCCTTTCTGAGCAACTACTGCAATAATTATTCGTACAATATCCAAATTTGCATCTGGGGAAAATGTTTCACTAAAGGAAATTCCAGGTTGTTGTGTATAGCCTTTTACTACCAATCTGGATTTGGCTCTTTGAATTGACCCATCTGGATTATGCTTCAGCTTGCAAACCCATTTTACACCAATGGCCTCTTTGTCATTTGGTTTTTCTACAAGCTGCCATGTGTTGTTTTTTTCAATTGCATCTATTTCATCTTGCATAACATTCTTCCAAATACTTTCTTTATTGCTTCTTTGAAATTTTTTGGTTCGACAACACAGAAAATGCATCTTGCATAAACATCACTTAAATCTTTCATTTTTACAGGAGTTGAACTAGGAGATGCCAAACTCGAACTCGGTGCACTTGAGGGACTTACTGAATTTGAGACTACTTTTGTTGTAACAACACTGCACAAACTGCTTTTTCTTTGTTTTCTTCATTTTCTTCCTAATTCCATGAGGTTTTCTCATCGAATACAACGTCTCGGCTAATGATGAATTTTCTTGTTTTCAAATTGTTCAAACCTGTAGCCTTTCTACATGGAATTGTAGCCAATGAAAATACATTTTTCACTTGTTTCATTCAGCTTCATTCTCTTCTGTTTCATAATCTGAGCATAGTACACACACCCAAAAAATTTAAGATGGTTCACCGACAGTGTTCTTCCACTCCAGGCTTCAAATGAAGTCTTTTTCCACACGACCTTTGTTGGACACTTGTTCATCAAATACACAACAATGTTAACGGCCTCAGGCCAAAAAGCTTTTAGTAAACCTTTTTCAAGTAGCATAGATTTTTTCATCTCCATCACTGTTTGATTTTTTCTTTCTGATACACCATTATGCTGTGGTGTGTAACTAACGGTGAATTGTTCATCTTTAAAAAAAAATTGAAACTCATTCAAGGTGTAATCCTTCCCTCGATCACTTCTCATCATTTTTATAAATATGCCACTCTGTTTTTCAATAAATGCTTTAAATTTCTTAAAGATTACAAACACTTCAGGTTTTTGTCTCATGAAATATACCCGTCATGTGGGTAAAGTCGTCAATAAACAAGACAAAATACATGATTTTGTCATGAGATAAGGTGTTCATTGGGCCACACACATTTGTGTGAACAAGTTCTAATACTCGTTTAGATCTCCAGGCTCCTTCCTTTGGGAAAGGTTGCTGGTGGTGTTTTCCTAGCACACAACCTTCGCACACACCAGATTTTTCTTCGATTCATGGTAGCCCATACACCATCTTATTTTGATAGAGTAACATGAGGCTTTCGTAATTCAAATTCCCAAGTCTCCAGTTCCATAAACACGAGTCATTCTCTTCTCTGGCCATCATGCTTACACTTTTATCATAGTTAAAAGATAGTGGAAAACTCATGTTTCTAGTCATCTTCATAAAGATAACACTTATTCTTTTTGAGTAAAAAATGTTGCACTCTTGATCAGTGGTTTTTCCACCTTTATTTACAGTTGATTTTAGTTATTGTTTCTTCTTCTTTTTAAGTGTTTTATTTCATTCTTCTATATTTTATGCGTTGGTTGTGTAGTTTGTTATTTTCAGGTTCAAAAGATTAAATCAGGACAAATCAGTGCAAATCTCATAGTTTCAGAATAAATAAAAGTATCCACCTATAGGAGGCCTGACACGGGCCATGTCAGGATGATAGACAAGACGAAGCCAAAAATAGGAGAAGTCAGGGATGTGACACGGGTGCCCGTGTCACCTGACACGGCTCGTGTCAGCAGGCCTGATACTTGACAACTTAAATGAAAAAAGCAGAGGGCCAACACGGGTGCCCGTGTCACCTGACACGACCCGTGTTGGCAGGCGCGAGAATAATTGTGATTTTTGGAGTTTGATGTGGTCTTGGATCATTAAGGTTACTTTGGACTTTTTGCACTGCTGGGTGATGACTTGATACTACTTAGGTTTATGTTTGAGAAGAAAAGAGGGACCTTTTTTGCAGAGAATGAATTCCAGAGTCTATGAGTGAGGATATTAGATTCTTGAAGAACAAATATCTTTCATGAGCGGATGCGATTGAAGACTAAAGTTCCTTCATCATCTGTAATGTCTAATTCTTATATGTTTGTAACTCTCATGAACAATATGAATAGCTAAACCCCCAATGCTAGGCGTGTCCTTGATTTGAATCTATAATGATTATGAGTTCCTGAGTTCTTTAATAAAGTTGTTTTCTTATTCAATTTAATTGTGCAATGTTTTTATGTTTTCCTGATCGGACCAATTAGGATTGATTCACAGTCAACAACCAATTGGACCACGGTTGTTAAGGTTTTTGTACGAATAGACTGTAGTAGATATCACCTAAGACTAGGGATACCCAGTAGTTACCAGATCACTCTTGATAAAATAAAGGCTTGACTCCATTATATATCTCTAAGGACTTAGGATTTAGGATGCATGGTTAAAGGTTTTCTCACTAATGACTTAGGGGAAAATAATCTAAAGGATTGGTAGTTGAATGTTATGAACTTGTTGAAGAAAACAAGATTCAAGGTCGTTATAGGGAAAATTACACACCACACCCTAGCATGTTCATCATATTTGTGAAAAAACATATTTATATTTCGGCTTATTCTTAAGTGACAATTTCTAAAACCAAATCCCCAAGTTAAGTTTTTGTTTAATTGAACATGAGTTAAACTCTTTAATTACACGCCATCCTTGCGATCGACATTTGGGGAATTTCCCAATTACTACATAGGTGAAAATAGTACACTTTTTATTTTTCCCATGAACTCTCTATTATCAAAATTTAGAGAATAATCGTGCTCTAGGAGTTGTCAAATGCTAAGAAAATTTGTGTCTAACTCCGGCATATAAAGCGTGTCATGTATGACTTTGCTTCCTTGCTTCGTGGTGACTCCAATGCTTCATTTGCCTTTCAATTTGACATGTTCTCCATTGCGCGT